CGTATGTATAAACGTATGTATAAATTCGTGACAAAGAAAATACGTAGAAAGACTTGATAAAACGTGTCGCGACATATTCGAAATTCTTGGAAAGAGGAGGAGGACCTGCCTTCTCTCATGGCTTCCAGAAGTATTACGTCACAATTTACGTGGATGCAATCAATCTTGCGATACCCGCTACGAACGGCTGAACAAATTTACTTCACTAAAGAGAGCAGTGCATCGTACGATGTGAAGAAGAAATATAACATGTAAGTTTCAACGTTCTATACACAAAACTAACGTTTTTTAACATTATGTATGTACACAGTACGGAGCATCGTGCGATGCGTTTACTGAGCAGACGTTACTTTCTGACGAATACGGGAAACAAATTACAAATTTTTGGAAATTGGAATCAACGTTGGCCCACTGAGTTACGTGGAGGTCGCCCTTGGAGATCATCGCGGACACGAACTATCGCTGTCTCTCGAAACGTGAAAGAGCCTCTACGAACAGCGAGGAAATATTTACAAGATGTTTTGAAACGAATACAAGGATAATTTTATAAACGTTGGACCGCTAACCGTCAGTGTTTGCTGAACGATGTTACGCTCGTACGTCTCGATTCTTCATCCGGACCCATTACGATGACCGAAACGACGCTACGCCGTATGTTTGACTTTAATGGGTGTATCGATGTAACGTTCGAACGATTAGCTCGACTCGTCGATACGGTGGATACCAAGTATAAGCGATTCTCCAACATTGCATCTGAGAACATTATACGTGATAGCGACATCTTCAATGGACATCAGCTCGTCGATTGCGAACTATTAGCTTTAGTTTTTAATAAGTACGAAAACCAGTGTAATAAGATGTGAATAAATATTTTTTGTTCGCATTATTACGTATGTATTTTCTTCTACTTCCCATCCATCACATTCGACGGTACTGTCACGACATATTAAGCGTTCTCTTTTTAAATAAAAACTTTTATAATAAAATATGTTTGCGTGCATGAAGATATAACGAGAGTGACAATGCGGCGGCGGCGGAAAAGATAAAACGATAAGAAAAAAACAGATGGTAGTAAGTGATGGTAGTAATAGATGCGGTAAGTGTATGCAAGCCTTTATTGCATTTTTGGAGACAGAGCGGCAATAAATAAGGACCGGGGTCCTTACATCAATAGCGTCGGGACCTTTTCCCCCTCCTTCCCTGCGTTACGAGCATCCCCCGCGCCTACGAGTATCCCCCGCGCCCCGCGCTTCCCTCTAGCCCCATGGGTTAGAACCTGCCTTGCTACTAAACATATTTGGAATTTTTAAGAGATAATCTACCAGATTTTTTAGAAGAAATCCCATTATTCGAGAGAAGCAAAATCGTATTTCAGCAATACGGTGCGGGGCTACACAACGCTAGAATTGTGACGGATTATTTAAATTAGCAATTTCCTAGACGATGGATGGGTTAATACGGCCCGCAAGATCTCCAGATCTTAATTCTCTGGATTTCTTTTTTTGAGGATATTGCAAGGAATTAATTTATAAAATGCTTCCCGAAGACATGGAAGATCTTGATACAAGATTGCGATATGCCGTATGGGCCCTCGAAGAAGACGCAAAACGTGCAAAGAAATTTATTGAGACGTATGAGAGCCTGCGTTAGAATGGATAGTGGACATTTCGAGCACCTTTTATAAAATTACTTTATCCATCACAATCAATCCGTTCTTTTTAGAGCGACAGCAATTCGTCCTTTTAAGGGCGACCAATACTTTCTTACATGGAATATCTCTCTTATGTAAAAAAGATCAAGAGATGGAGAGAACGTACAAGAAATATTATATAATAACTTATTTTGTAAAAGATTTAATAATTATTCATCGCAGACGCAACACTATCGTACAGCATTACGTTTCACGTAATACTACTTAAGAAGCATTACTCTGTTTGGAAGAAAAATCAATGTCAGAAAAATCAATTATACAACATAACATGAAATATTCTGATATTGATTTTTTGATATTGATCGATTCGATGTCGATTTGATGCTTTCGACGTCGAACGATAGCGAACCGATATCGATTCGATTCTGACTGAGACGTCCGTGTTTTGACAGCGCCAGTACAAATATAATCAATAAAATCAATCAACTGCTTGTTATCGCGTATGAGTGAACGCGTCGTGTGTTAGTAAACAATCGTGTGCTTTTTTCTTCGAGTGATATTCAGTCGACAAATAATTAATCGGTAGTAATTTATAAATTAACTAACAGATTCTCCATTAAAATCGAGTGCATGCTATCATCGAATAAACGCGGCGTGTGATTATCTTTCTTCGAGTGATTTTCGGTCACCGAATGATTAATTGATAATAGATAAAATGGACCATCGGTAGTAAAACGGACACTTAACCGATAGAG